AAACTATTAAAGTCATTAAATTAAATTAAAAATATTTATTTTATTAAATTTTTTATTTAATAACATTAAAGCCCGGTACTACGCACCGGGTTAGAGACGAGTGATAATCATAAATGGCAAAAATTCAAGTTTCTGCTAAGTACATTTTTAATATATATACTAAAAATATCAAACTCGGTATTTGGATATTTCCGTCTGTAACGCCACATCCTTAAATTGTAACAGTTAATATAGTTAGAGAACTTACTGAAAAAAAAATATCACTAAACCTACAGTTCGAAGTTAAAATACAAGTTGTGTGGATTACGCAATCAAAGTACTTAAGGAATTAATTTGCATCGCCGAGGATAAACAATATCAAATTGTTATTGGATCGTTCAGGTTATTAAGCTTATTTTATTCCAGAGTTTCTTAGGACCTGTTCTATAACTGATTTGATACTTCTGGTCCTCTACAGAATGTTATACAGTATGAAAATGCTTTCCAAACTAATAAGAGAAAACGAAAGGCGGATGATGCTTTTTGTGAATAATATGACTATCTCTTCAGGATCATGTCCGCCCAATATTTATTTTGTTGAGACTGCTTTGAAAGAAAGTTCAGAAGATGAAAGGAATTATGTAAAAACGTGAAGCAGTTGATAGGGAAAAGGGAGGATGTTGAGAAGAAGTCAGCAATGAAAAAAATAATGATTTTCTGAAAAACAGGAGTAATCATGTGTATTAGCATAAATGTCATGTTGTATTAATAAAAAATTTAAAACATCCTGATCTCGGTTCGGAAAGAGACTTCTTTTTTACCAATTTGAACAATTGGTATCCTGTAAAAAAAAAATATTATACAGTACCGGGGAATAAAAGACATCCAATCTATACTATAAGGCGAAACATACACAGCTCACCCCCAGGAAATTTTCCCCTCACGTGATGATCATCCTGATTTTTTTCATTTTTGTGTAATATTTTTGCCTTTTTTCTATTATAGGATGACTTTCATCTAATTGGCTGATGTAAATCAATTGCCCGGGTAACTTATTTAT